GAAGAAGCCCTTGACATGGCGTCGCTAGGCGCAGGGGGCATCGGGATTGCGGCGATGAATGAAAATCAGAGATGACTTGCCAAGCAGTTCTACTGCCTGCCAGTCAATGCAGCTCGAGGTAAAGCGTGGGCACTTGTGCGAGGCGCCGGGGAGCATGGCGGCATCTCCGCGTGGCGGAAGATTAAAGCCGAGCACCAACGATATGTCGGAGGCAGACACACTGCACTGCTGATGGGGATCTCGCAGCCAGGCTGGGATCAGAAGGTGACAAGGCAAAAATTCTCGGCAGAGCTCATGGAGTGGGAGACGCGCGTCAGGGACTACGAGATTGAGAGCACAAGGGCGGCGACCGACCCCACGAAGATAGCAGTGCTGGCGTCGCATGCTCCAGGGCCAATCAGTGCGATGGTGAGGCTCGCTATTGGACCAGTGCACGGAACAGGCAAAACGCCAACCAGGGCTACGAGGAATATTTGCAGTTCGGCAGGACATTCAACAAGAACGGAAAGACCGTGTGCAGCCAGAACGACATGAGTGGCCCGATACCAATATAAGTAGGTTCAGCATGGGCAGGACAAGGCGAGGAAATAGGAAAGTGTTTATTCGTTTGTGGTCGGCCTGGGCACCGAGCGCAATATTGCAAGCTGGCGAAGTCGAAAAGCAATGGGCGCGACGCGGCAAAATGGGCACGAGTGGGCCGGGTGGAGGTCGAGGCTCAGAGGCGACCAGCCAGCGAAACAGGTACGATCAGTCGAGGACAAACCAGCGTCGGCGACGATCGAGGCGGCGCCTACGAGGAAGGCTAGAACGGTTTCGAGTGCCAGTTGCGCGAGGGTGTCCACGACTACAGCGACGCAGTGGGCTAGCACGAGTATCCCGATGAGTGCCCGTGGGAGACCGACGACCGCGACGACTCGCAGCATTGCGAGCCGATCGTTGATGGCGACCATAAGGGTCCAGTGGTTAAGAGCTGCGAGGACCCAGGCCGCGACGACGAGGATGACAGCAATGACAAGTGGGTGTTAAACGTGCGGCGAGAGGATCTGGATGAAGCTAGACGCGAGTTCCCCCCTCTCCTCAGTGTGTGCGAGCAGCGCGCGTGCCCGCGGGACGTCACGGAGAACGGAGTTGACCTTGGACCCAGGGGCGTTCGGCTGTGAGGAGCGAACGGCGGCAAGATCGCCTCGGGTCTCGAGACCCTAGTCGAGTGCGCGGTGCTGGACGTGAGCAGCAATTCCATCATCACTGCGAAGACCTCCTTCGCACAGAGCCACGTGAAGCGCGCCCTGCTCAGCATTGGCAACCTCGCGAGAAACGGCATCAACGAGTACTTTAAGAAGGGCAACCTGCGGCTCGAAGCCGCCGCCGACCGCGGCAGGGTGAAGGTGCCAGTGGACATGCATGGACGCGCGCTTGGGTTGCGAATCAAGAGAGGCACGTCGCCCCCTCAAACATCGTGGCACAGCCGACTTCGGGGTCGGCGAGCTCGAGCTCGGCGGCAGCGGCTCCACAGCCAGTGGCAGTCGCAGGGCTCCACGGGCTCCGGGCACAGAGGCGACAGAAAGCGCCCGACTCGACGGGGGGCCCGGCAGCTAGGTGAACAGTGGCTGGATGTCCGACAGCATGGAGAGCCAGTCGGGCGTGGAGGTCTGTCCAGTGGCAGCGGCGCCGATGACGCGAGGGAAAGAGTGAAGGAGCTCATGGCCCCGATCGGGTAACCGAGTGGCAAGTGGCAGCGGCGCCGACGACCAAGGCGAGACTGGAGTTGGGGGTGAGGGGCGAGATGGCTCTAGGAGCGCGCGAGGGAGCTTGCCAGAGCTGGGGGCCAACGCGAAGTTATCGCCCCCGGAGCTCCGACGGAGCCGAGGCCAGAAGAGCGTGAGCGACGCGAGATCACGCACCTTCCCTGCCAGCCGTGGCGCGCGTGGTGCGTGATGGGCAAAGCACAGGGCCACGCCGCGCGAGCCTTTGGCCCGAGGAATCCGAGAAGCTACTGCAGGGCCCGAAGAGACGACGCCGACCTGTGGATCAAGCCTGGGCGACCGCGCCGACGCTGGTGGACGCGATCTCGCAGAACCCCGCGGTGATGGCAGTCCCGACGAAGTCCGACGAGACCAATTTTATTTCAGCTGCGTGCGCATCCTCCGTCAAGCGGGTTGCGTATCAGCAGGCGATCCTCAAGGTCGACCCCGGGCAGGCCCTGGGAGTGACCTACCACGACCCAGGCAACGAGTATCAGGGTGCGGACCCCGAAGTGGCGAAGGCCATCCTGAAGGGGGATGAAAACGGAGATACGCGCGATGGAGGAGTTCGAGATCTTCGAGCCTGTGGCTTGCATCCCTGACGGCGCGCGCATCCTGTCGACCAGGTGGTAGAACGTGCCGATGGGGGCCTGACGAGGGGTAAGAACCCGAGCTGTTCGCGGCTAGGGTCATCAGCAGCGCTGGCAGGCTCGTAGATCAGCGCGCGGTCCAGCTCGGCTACTGCGCGATGGCGTTGGACGCTCAGAACGCATGCTTCCACGCCGAGGAGGGCGAGGAGGTGCGCGTGGTCCCGCAAGCAGCATGGGCAAAGCGCCATTTCGCGAGAGGTGGCAATATCGAGAGGCCGTGGTGGAAGATGAAAGAGCAGCGCTGTGCAGGCGCAAGGCCGCAGAGAAATTCAACGCGTGCGTGGTGGGCCAGGCGAAGGGCCCAGGGATCGAACAGTGCCCGAGCAGCCGAGCATAATCAGACGGACTGGGACTACGCATGTGTTCGAGGTGCATCAGGATGATATCTGCGCGCCAAGAAGTGGCCCAGAGATGAACTGGCCGAAGGACAACTTAGCACCAGTACTTCAGTTGGAAGAGGCGAGCATCGTGAAGGTCGGATCGGTGAGGGCAACGAGGACGAGAGTCAGCAAGGATGTGGTCTATTTCGCCCCGCGACAAAGTACATCGACGACGTGCTGGAGGAGTTTGGCTTGGCGAGCTGCAAGGGGGCGCCGACGCCGATGGTCCAGTCGAGACGGACGGCGGACCTTGAGTTTCCGCTCGCGAGGCCGACTGACAAAAGGTCCTGCAACAAGTGCGTGGGCATGTCAGGCACCCTTTGAAACGCAGGCCTGACACTCTCCTTCCTGGTGTACGAGTTGAGCAAGTCATTGAGCGGGCCGAGGGGCCCAGACATGCAGAAGCTCCGAAGGCTCGCAAGGTGCATCAGAGGCACGGCAGACTATAGTATCCCAGTGAACAAGAGCGACGACGCCGAGTTCCTGAACGCGCATTCGGACGCAGACTGGGCCGGCGACGTCAATGACAGGAAGAGCACGCCAGGGTGTTCGCTCATGTTTGGCAACGCAGGCCTCAGGGGGTTCACGAAGGGCCAGCGCCGCCGAGCACTTTCTAGTGACATCTAGTGGTGGGAGCGAGTGCGACGCTGCAGTGACCGTCGTCGCGGAAGCCATCCACGTGCAGAAGTTGCTGGAGTTTCGGGTTTCCAGTGGAGATCCAGTTGTTGCTGGATTCGACAGCGGCTTGAGGGGACATTCGACGCGCGGGCTGTGGTTCTCTGAAACGCACCGAGACGAAGCTGCCGTGGCTCCAGATGAAGTCGGAGGACGAGCGCGTGAAGGTGCATGAGGGGCCGACTGCGACCAACGTGGTGGACGGATGCACAACAGCATGGCAGCCAGAGAAGTTCCCAGAGCGGCGAGCAAGGTTCGGCATGGGCGTCGACGGCGGCGACGAGGTCGAGACGGGCAAGAGGGGGGCGTTCAGCAGCGGAAGCGGCCAGTGAGCTTCGAGCGGAAAGGATCCGAAAGCGTTATTGGTGGCAGCGATGATGCTCAGCGAAACGAACGGAGAGTGCCAAGTTGCCGCGCTCGACGACAACGTGATGGAGGTGCAGAAGTACCGGGGGCCTGCCATCCCGTCTTTCGTCGCCCCACGTGTGGTGATGATGGCGATGCTACTGGTGTCCGTGTTGTGCCTCGCATTCGGATGCTGGGCTGGCCTCAAGATCAAGACCATGATCGACCGGGTTCGCGGAGGTGGAAGTTCCTTTGGGGCAGTCAGGGGGTCCGCGAGACACAAGCAAAGCAAGAAGACGCCAGCGCGGACGAGGACAGTGCGCGCGAAATCGGTGACAGTGCACGCCAGGACGAAAACGCAGCCAATGTTCGTCCTGACGCCAGTGGGCTGCGAGGGAGCTTGGACAGGGATCTCAACTTGGGTGACGCAAAGAACCCGAAGAGGTCCGACTGATAAGGCTTGAGCGGTTACGGCACGCAGTCGAGCCAGGCAGAGTTTCTTCGACGGCGGAAAGATGTCGGAAGCAGAGAGTTTTTGATTCGCTATGCGTGCTGGCGTGCAGGCGGCTGGATTTTACCGTGGTGGATGCAAACACTTCGGCGCGACTTCCACGCGCTGCAGAGTGCCGAGGGGGCGTGTTGGTGTTTTTATGTGATGGATAGGTATAGGCAAGGCGTAGCTGCATTTACATGTTCCGTCGCTTTCGGCTTAGAGGTTTGGACACGATTTTAACAGTTCTTCATGCAGATCACAACGCGTACTCGTTATCACCTCCACCATCCCCCTCACCTTCATCATCATAATCACCATCACTACAGCTTCATCACCACCATCATCAACATCACCATCATCATTATCATCGTCATCATCCGTGTCATCATTATTATCACCATCATGATCACCACCACACTCGTCATGGCCGTCACCATCAACATCGTCATCACGGTCACCGTGATCATCATCATCATCATCATCATCGTCATCATCATCATCACAATCAACAACATCATCATCACCATCACCAGCATCGTCATCATCATCACCATCACCATCATCACCACCACCAACATCATTATGACTATCATCATCCCCTGCTCCTTTTCCCTCCCTCTTCCTCCCCCTTCCTCCCCCTCGCCTGCCCGTCCTCCTCCCGCTTGTCCCGCGCCTTACGATCATTACCCCGAGGCGGGGCGCGTCGCCGCCGTTGAAGCTTCCGATCAGCTGCCTCCGCCCGTCTCCGCACGCCCCCTTGCCCGCCATGGAGGCGCCGCGACCACCCCGCACTCGGGATGGGCAGGTGGTGTGGTCCTCTTTTCTCCTCTTTCCTCCCCCCGCCAATTGCGTCGGCGGACGTGATGGCCTTCCTGAAGGAGGAAGGCGAACACTTCCTCCAGCTGCGTGGAGGATGTGTTTGCCACTCTGGGCGGTGCAGGACTCGTCCTCCTCCTCCTCCTCCTCCTCCTCCTCTTCCTTTCCTTTTTCCTCCTGTTCTCCTCCTCCTCTTCCTCCTCCTTCCCCTCCTCCTCCATCTCCTCCCTTCCCTCCTGCTCCTCCTTTTCCTCCTCCTCCTCCTCCTCTTCCTTTTCCTCCTCCTCCCTCCCTCCCTCCTCTTCCTCCTCCTCCTCCTCCTCCTCCTCCTCCTCCTCCTCCCTTTATCTCCTCCTCTTCCTCCTCTTCCTGCTCCCTTCATCTCCTCCTCCTCCTCGTCGTCCTCCTCGTCGTCCTCCTCCTCTTGCTCCTCCTCCATCTCCTCCTCCTTCCCGTGAGTGATCTTGCGAGCATCGGCCGCCTTCGAGGACCCCCCGGCTTTCAGGAGGGTGCGCACGAGGGTGGCCAGTTTTTTCTTTGGGCCGCCTTAGGGGCCAACCCAAGCCAAGCCAAACCATCCCTCCGCGCTCCCTCCTCCCCCCTTCTCCCCACCCCTCTTTCCCCTTCTTCTCCTTCCGCTCTCTCCTTCCGCTCCTTCCCCTCTTTTTCCCAGTCCGTCCCCCCCGCCTCTCCCCGTGGTCGCCGGCCCAGAACTTGATCGACCCTCTCCACGTATCCTTATCAAACAAAATCAACACAGCAAGCACGTTGCGACAAGTGTGGGACCATGTGTGGGCTCTCCATCATTATTCTGCATCATTCCCCACATGTTCCGTGGGGTTGTGGATTTCTTCTTTGCCGCGTCGCACCCGCGGCTCACTCACCTCCCTTCCTCCTTTCTCCCTCACCCACGCGCAACACATGCACGGCATGTACATGAGACACGCGTGTCTATACAGCCCGTCGCATGCACACACTCGCATACACACCATACAACGCCAGTGCACGCCTGGCGTGTTCACTGCATCATTGTTCCCCACATGTTTAGTGGGGTCCTTGTTTCCCCACATGTTTCGTGGGTTTCTGGTTTTCTTCACCACATGTTTCGTGGGGCTCTGGTTTTCTTCCCACCCGCGTCGCACCCGCGTCTTCCTCACACCTCCCTCCTCCCTACTCCCTCTCCTCCTCTTCCGTTCTCCCTCCACCCACAGCCGCACGCACGCACACACTCGCACACACACACATCACACATCACACACCAAACACCACACACCACACACCACACACCACACACCACACCACAAACAACACACAACACACAACACACAACACACAACATATAAGACAACACAACACACACATTCACACACACCACACCATACAACGCTAGTGCACGCCTGGCGTGTTCACTGCATCATACACTCAAAACGTGTGCACAACATTCTCGGCACCCACACGAGACACACGTCCCGATACGGCCGCACACGCATCATACACATACCCATACGACCACCCTTCGGGTGATAAGGAGGTTGTGGGAGTGGGGGGGGAACCAACATCAGACTCAATCGATCTCACTATCGATCTCACTCAACGGGACACCACGAAACACCACGGGACACCACGGGACACCACGGGACACCACGGGACACTTGTCGATCCCACTATCGATCTCACTATCGATCTCACTTTTTGGGACACCACGGGCCACCACGGGACACGGGACTCCGCGGGACACCTCTCGATCTCATTATCGGTCTCAATATCGATCTCACTATCGATTTCACTCAACGGGACACCATAGGACACCACGGGACACCTCGGGACACCTCGGGACAACACATCGATCTCACTATCGATCTCACTATCGATCCCACTCAACGGGACACCACGGGACGCTACGGGACACCTGTCGATCTCACTATCGATCTCATTATCGATCTCACTTTTTGGGACACCACGGGACTCTACGGGACACCTCGGGGCACCACAGCGACCTCAGTAGCGATCTCACTATCGACCTCACTATCGATCTCACTCAACGGGACACCACGGGACACCACGGGACACTTGTCGATCTCACTATCGATCTCTCTATATCGATTTCCGTTTTCGAGACACCACGGGACAACACGGGGCACCACATCGATCTCACTATCTTATCGGTCTCACTATCGATCTAACTATAGATCTCAGTATCGATCTCACTATTGATCTCACTGAACGGGACACCACGGGACACCACGGGACACCGCTAGGGCCACCGCCGGACGGACGGACGGACGGGGGAGAATCATGTGTCTTGATTTCGCCCTAGCAACGGTGGGCTCATTTCTCTCGCGCGCCTACGCAGCTTCGCCTCGAACGCACGCACGACACGAACGAAACGGAAAGATTTCCCGGTTGGGGGTCTCCGTTCCACTGCGATCTCACCCCCCAACCTCCGACACATGACATGCCATATACAAGGCGTGTGTTTAGGATTCGCAGTCCATGGCAGGCGTGGCACTTTCTCGACACCAGAGGGAGTGCGTTGGGTGGTCTCCCTATCCGTTTCGTGCTCGCAAAGCGTGGCGGGCATGGCACTTCCTCGACACCACATGGGGGTGCGCTGGGGTGGTTGGGTGGTATCCCTATCCGTTGCAGGCTTGCAGGGCGTCGCAGGCGTTGCATTTCCTCGACACCACAGGGAGTGCGCTTGGGGTGGTCTCGCAAACCGTGGCATGCGTGGCTGAGTGCGCTGGGGGTGGTCTCCCTATCCGTTTCGGGCTTGCAAAGCGTGGTGGGCGTGGCACTTCCTCGACACCGCATGGGTTGCGCAGGGGGTGGTTTCTCACAGCGGTCTCTATACGCCCCAGTCGTCCATGCACAGCAGGCGTGGCACTTTCTCGACACCATATGGGGTGCACAGGGTGTGGTCTCTCACCGCGGTGTCCATACGCCCGAGTCGTCCAGGCACAGCAGTCGTGGCACTTTCTCGATACCATAGGGGATGCGCAATGGGTGGTTTCTCACGTGGCACTTTCTCGACACCATCGGGGAACCGCAGGGGGTGGTCCCTCACGGTGGTGGCTATACGCCCCAGTCGTGCATGCACAGCAGACGTGGCACTTTCTGGGCACCACAGGAGATGCGCAGGGGGGGTCCTTCACCGCGGCGTGCGCCGTCCGCCTGCCCACCGCGTCGAGACTCGTGCGCCGTCCGCCTGCCTGCCTGCAGCCCCGCTCTCTTCCGTGGTGGCCATGGCTCCGGCTGCTGTTCGCGCGGCGCGTCAGCCTCCCGAGGCTTGACCCACACCTGCGACCCGCCCGCGACTCAGCCGCGACCCACCCGCCTGCGACCCACCCGCGACCTACCCGCACCCCGCCCACGCCACACGCGACCCTTTAACGACCCACCCGCGACCCACCCCGCGCCCGCCCCCTCACTGTTATCCGCAACTGCGGGGTTCTACATCGTCATCTGTGCGCTGGCCCACCATCCCCGTCGAAACCGATCCAAGCTGATTGGTGTTGTGCACGCCATGCGCGGTGCCCAATACTCCGTCACTACAGTCGAGTTTGATTAGTAGGTCGACCCTGCCCAAGCAAGGGTACCCTTGTGTCCTGTGTTTCGCGACTCGTGCCGTCTACGTTCCACTGGCAAGGTGGCCATCGGAAGAGTCTTGTGTCCTCTCACGTGTCCTCTCCAACCCACCCCGATTGTACTTTGCATTGTTGTTTGACAGGGATCGGGTGGATGTCGTCATATTCGGCACCTGTCCGATGCGTGCTGCCTCGGGTTCCGGCGCACCTGACGCGCCCCTGGTGCACTCTGCGTGCGCCGCCGCGCGTGGCGCACAGGGCGCGCCTGACGCACGTGGCCCTCGCGGCGCACGTGGCGTACGTGGTGTTCCTGGCACGCCAGACGCCCTTGGCTCCCCTTGGGCCGCGAGTGGCGCACCTGGCACACGTGGCGTACCCCGCCAGCGCGTGTCGCATCCAGCGCCTTTTTCGGTTCTTGCGGGCACATTTCGAAACCCCCTCCCCCCCCGTTCCTGAATCTGTTGTGGGATTCCAAGCTTCAGGATCACGGATGGTGAGGATATCTCAGGCTAAACGCCCAGCCTGCAGTCGTTTGGGCCGCCGCCTCCGTAGTCATTTTGGTTGCTTCGGGTCGCCGTCTCGCTAGCGCGCCGCGGCCGCCTGCTTCTGCACCTGGCTTGCTGCGCTTTCCTTTGCCCTTGCTCCTCTCCCTCTTTTCCCTATCCTCTCCTGCTCCTTGCCTCTGGCGGTGGTGCGCGGCGCCTAACGGTGTGGTCGGGTGGCGCACACACCACGGCTGCGGCCCCGTCTCCTCCGTCTTCCCGTTCCTCCCGGCTCTCTCTCCCTTTCCCCTACCTTTTGCCTCGCCGCTGCTACTTTTTAGGGGTGTGCCCTGTCGCCGGCACCCGGGTGGATTGGCGCCGTCCACCGCGGGAGTTGAGAAAAGAATCCCGAATGGGCACGCCCTTTGTTTTATCTGTGGAATGGACTCGGCCGCGACGCGCCTAGCCCCAGTGGACACACGCTTCAAAGCTACGTGCGTGCCGGGGCTGCGGATTCAGCAGGAAAGATGAGGACGATGATGAGGATGAGGATGAGGACGATGATGACGATGACGACGATGATGGCGAGGATGAGGATGAGGATGAGGCTGAAGATGATGATGATGATGATGATGATGATGATGATGATGATGATGATGATAATGATTGATGATGAAGATGATGATTATGATGATGATGATGATGACGACGATGATGATGCTGATGATGATGAGGAGGAGGATTGTGATGCTGATGATGATGACGATGTGGATGGTGATGTTGATGATAATGATGATGATGATGATGATGACGATTCTCAGGATGATACTGATGATGATGCTGTTGATGGTGGTGGTGATGCTGATGAGGATGACGATAGTTAGTGATGATGGTGATGCTGGGGATGATGATGATGAGGATGATGATGATGATGATGATGATGATGCTGATGCTGATGCCGATGATGATGGTGATGATGATGGTGGTGATGCTGGTGATGCAGATGATGATGATGCAGATGATGATGCTGATGATGATGCTGCTGATGATGATGGTGATGATGATGATGATGCTGAGGATGATGATGATGATGATGATGATGATGATGATGCTGATGCTGATGCTGGTGATGATGATGATGCTGATGATGCTGATGATGCTGATGCTGATGCTGATGCTGATGCTGATGCTGATGATGATGATGATGATGATGATGATGATGATGATGTGATGATGATGATGATGATGATGATGATGATGATGATGATGATGTGATGCTGCTGCTGCTGCTGCTGCTGCTGATGATGATGATGATGATGATGATGATGATGATGATGATGATGATGATGATGATGATGATGATGAGGAGGAGGAGAGGAGGGAGGAGGAGGAGGAGGAGGAGAGGAGGAGAGGAAGAGGAAGGAGGGAGGAGGAGGAGGAGGAGGAAGAAAAGGAGGAGGAGGAGGAGGAGGAAGAAGAGGAGGAGGAGGAGGAGGAGGAGGAGGAGGAGTGGGGGAGGAGAGGAGGAGAAGGAGGAGGGGAGGGGGGAGTAGGAGGAGGCGGAGGAGGAGGAGGAGAGGCGATGATGATGATGATGATGATGATGATGATGATGATGATGATGATGATGATGATGATGATGATGATGATGATGATGATGATGATGATGATGATGCTGATGAGGGGGAGGAGGAAGACGAGGATGAGGAGGAGAAGGAGGAGGAGAGGAGAGGCGGACGATGATGATGATGATGATGATGATGATGATGATGATGATATGATGATGATGAGAGGAGGAGGAGGAGGAGGAGGAGGAGGAGGAGGAGGAGGAGGAGGAGGAGAGAGGAGGAGGAGGGAGGAGGAGGAGAGGAGGAGGAGGAGAAGGAGAAGGAGGAGGAGGAGGAAAAGGGAGGAGGAGGAGGAGGAGGAGGAGGAGGAGGAGGAGGAGGAGGAGGGAGACTGCGCCCCGCCCGCGCGTGCCAGCGCCTGAACGTCCTCGCGCGTCATGTGGTGACCCCCGGGGCGCAGCCAGAGACGCAGCGGCCGTGGCCCGACGGAACCCCGCGCGGGGGGGGGGGGCCAGATCGAGCCTGGAGGTTCGAACTTGGAGGCCTGGGGTTTTCGGACGGTCTGCGCTCTTTTTGCGCCTCCTTGGAGGTTTCGCGTCGCCGCGGATGGATATGCCTGGAAATTTTGGCCAGAGCACATCTTTCTCTGGAGGAGGTCATCAAACTTGTCGCGCTCGCGCCACGTCTGACATGCTACCCCTCCCACCCATTCATTTCCGTTGCTCGGATGTGTTTCTGCCCGCCAAGGCGTGCCATGGCGGACCTGGAGTTCCAGAAGGGGCCCCATCGTGTCATGCGCAACCGGAAGAAAAGGGGAACTGCGTGCAGTGGAGGAGAGGTTGAAGGACGCGCAGGAGAAGGAGCGCGAGAAAGGGGAGCATGAGGAAAAGGGGGGACGAGGAGCAACCGCAGCAGCAGGAGCTGCAGTGGGAGCAGCGGATGCCCAGGAGCACGCGGGGGAGGGCGGGGGGAGGGGACAGGAGCGGGGCGGCAGCGACGAGGGGACACTCGCGTCCAGAAAAGCGGCCCGCGCGGGGGCGAGGGCGCCACCGTGAACGCCGGGGACTACGCGCCTATCCTTAAGTCGGGCCTGTCCTTCTACAGGGGGGAAATTCAAAAGTCGTAAACAAATAGTCAGGGGACGATTTTTTCTAATACTATTGTTTGACCATTTGGGGGTATTTTTTTGTTGTTTTTTTATTCTTCGTCCAAAATCCCCCCGTCGGAGGACAGGCCAGACCTAAGCTATCCTACGCTGAGGCCCGTCACGCGGCACCGGCAGCACCGTTTTGAGACACCGGAGACGCTCCGATTGAAGCGCATCACAGCAAGACATATGAACATCTGAGGCCGTGTGTATCAAAAGACAGAGCGCGAAGGGGGGTCGTTCCACACCCTGGTCATCTTGAGCGGCGCGAGGAGAGTAGTATATGCATATTTTGTATTTTTTGGGAGGGAAGGACGAGCGGGAGGAGGAAAAGGAGGTGGAGTGGGATGGTGAAGATGGTAATATGATGAGAGGAAGAGGAGCTTTGAGGGGGAGGAGGAAGAGGAGGAGGAGGAGGAGGAGGAGGAGGAGGAGGAGGAGGAGGAGTACCGGTGTAAACCCAAAACCAATTCACGACATTGCCATCAACCCTGCCCCAAGTTCGCTCCTTGTAGGCCCCTACAAGGTTTCATATTCACTGATTGAAGTGCCCCGTTGGAAGACAAACGATTGCAAACCCTGAACCTTGCTAGAACACCATGCCTGGGATTGCAACGCCGCGAATCACCATAACTGGTGCGTCTTGACGGTCTTGACTGGTGTCCGGACATCATATCTGGGAGTTCAACACCACGAATCAACGTTATGACTGCGCCTCGACAGTCCGAGATAGTGCGAAAAAGCAACTTCTGGGATGATCTATGATAATCCTGACGAACGTGCGCGGCGCTAGGGCGCGAGCTACATCTTGAAAAGGATCCGCCCTCCATCCGTGAAACTCTTGCAAACTTTTTATGGCGAGTTTGCGCGGCGCTACGGCGCAAGCCACATTTTGAAAATCACCCGCCGTCCATTCGGAAAACTATTGCAAATCTCAGGCTTCAGGGTCATGTCTGGTGAGGAAGTCTCGGGCGAAACGCCTGGCCCGCCCTTCCGACTGGCCTCGGGGTGCGATAGGGAGGAGTTGTTCACAAGGAGGCATAATGGAGCAGCAGGAGGAGACTCAGAATGGGATTATGCTCATTATGCCATGCGCGTCTCGTGCGAGTTGTTTTCACCTCCACTCCTCACGCACAGCTCCTACCGCCTTTCGGCGTACGGTTTACGTCATCGATTGCATTTCTTCTGCGAGTTTGCGTAGCGCTCTTCTTAGAGCGTGCGGATGGACGCGACGGCATGCCAGAGTTCTGGGCGGCATTGCAAGTTCAAGCGTGAGCACAAGGCGCATGGCAAGGGTTGTCCTGGGCTGAAGCTCCTCCGCTGCAGGAGTCGCTGGGAAGCCCAAGAAGAAGGTGTGGTACGCCCCCTACAAGTTCGAGGCCTACGGTGAGGAGGAAATCCAGGATCTCCCTGCCCCTGAGCCTCCGTCCTTCATCACCCACCAAACCACCCCAACCCAACCCGAAGGCTCAGATTTACCCTCGACTTCCAGTGGGGGGGGGCGGGGAACATCGAAAAGACACATGTGGAACCCTTACCCCCCCCAACCTGAAATTCGGGTCTTCGGGTTGGGTTGGGGTGGCCTGGTAGGTAGTCCGTCCTGCCTCCCGCGCGAGAGGTCGGCGCGAGGGGGCTCCGCGGCCCCCAACGCTGTCCCTCGGCGCGTGGCCGGTGAAGCTCGGCGGCGCGCCGAGGGGGGGGGGGCGGAGAGGGCAGGCCTCCTCTGAAGGCGGCGCGGGCCCTCTCAGCAGGAGGAGGAGGAGGAGGAGGAGGAGAGGAGGAGGCGGAGGAGGAGGAGGGGGGGGGGGGAGGGGGAGGGGGAGGAGGAGGAGGAGGAGGAGGAGGAGGAGGAGGAGGAGGAGAGGAGGGGGAGGAGGAGGAGGAGGAGGAGAAGGAGGAGGAGGAGGAGGAGGAGAAAGAGGAGGAGGAGGAGGAGGAGGAGGAGGAGGCCCCCCCCCCCCCCCGCGGCTCCAGGGAAGGCCCAGAGAGAGACCTCCCCGGGAGGCGACGGGGCAGAGGGCCGGCGTGGCGCCCCGGGGGTGTGGGGTCGGAGCCGCCGGGGGCACCCTCGGGGGGGAGGCCAGCACTGCCCTCGGCGGCGACGATAGGGGCGAATGGCCCGGGGGCGGGCATTACACATATTCGCCCGGGAGCCTTTTCGAAGACATAGATCATCGGCGCACCTGAATACATGTCGGAGGTGAGGGGGTGAGATCGAAGTGGAACGGAGAGCCCCCCTACCGGGAAATCGATTTTGGTTTCGTGTTCGTGCGTGCCGTGCGTGCGGGCGAGGCGAAGCTGCGTGGGCGGGCGAGAGAAAGTCTCCTGTGGCTGAGGCGCGGCCGGACCAAATGTCTCCCTTCCGGGCGGCCGGTGGCCCGCGGTGTCCCGCCGGTGTCCCGCTGGTGTCCCGTGTGGCTGAGGCGCGGCCGGACCAAATGTCTCCCTTCTGGGCGGCCGGTGGCCCGCGGTGTCCCGCCGGTGTCCCGCTGGTGTCCCGTGTGGCTGAGGCGCGGCCGGACGAAATGATTCCCTTCCGGGCGGCCGGTGGCCCGCGGTGTCCCGCCGGTGTCCCGCTGGTGTCCCGTGTGGCTGAGGCGCGGCCGGCAAATGAGTCCCGCGGTGTCCCGCGGTGCCCCGTGGTGTCCCGCCGGTGTCCCGCGGTGTCCCGCGATGATGATGATGATGATGATGATGATGATGATGATGATGATGATGATGATGATGATGATGATGATGATGATGATGATGATGATGATGATGATGATGGATGATGATGATGATGATGATGCTGTGATGATGATGACGTCGATGATGATGATGGTGATGCTGCTGATGATGATGAGGACGATGATGATGATGATGATGATGATGATGATGATGATGATATGATGATGATGGTGTCCCGATGATGATGATGATGATGATGATGATGATGATGATGATGATGATGATTATGATTCTGTCCGATGATGATGATGATGTTGATGATGATGAGGTTGATGATGATTATGGCGTCCCGATGATGATGATTATTCCATGGTGATTCTGATGATGTTGATGATGATGGCGACCCGATGGTGATGATGATGATGATGATGTTGATGTTGATGTTGATGCTGATGTTGTTAATGATGATGATGATGCCCCGATGATGACGACGATGATGATGATGCTGATGATGATGATGTTGATGATGCTCATGATGATGATGATGATGATGATGATGATGATGATGATGATGATGATGATGATGATGTCGATGATGAGGATGATATGATGATGGTGTTCCAATGATGATAATGATGATGATGCTAACGATGGTGATCATGATGGTGTCCCGATGATGCTGCTGATGATGATGATGATGATGATGATGACGATGACTGTGTCCCGATGCTGCTGATGATGATGATCTTGATGATGATGATTGTGATGATGATGATGGTGGTGTCCCGATGATGTTGATGACCGTGATGATGATGATGATGATGATGATGATGATGATGAGGATGATGATGATGATGATGATGATGATGATGATGATGATGATGATGATGATGATGATGATGATGATGTTGGTGTTGATGATGAGGACGGTGTCCCGATTATGATGATGTTGGTGATGATGATGTTGATGTTGATGTTGTTGTTGATGATGATGATGACGTTGATTGTGAGAGCGGTTGTGATATCGATAGTAAAATCGATAATGAGACCGAATGTGATATCGATTGTGAGATCGATTGTGAGATCGATTGTGAGATCGATAGTCAAATCAATTGTGATATAGATCGAGTGAGATCGATTGTGAGATCGATCGAGGGAGATCGATCGAGCGAGACCGATACTGAGATCGATAGTGAGATCGATAGTGAGACCGATCGAGTGAGACGTTGGTTCCTCCCCCCCCGAACCTCCTTATCACCCGAAGGGTGGTCGTATAGGTATTGCTCTCCCCTGGGCTATTCGCCCCTAGCGTCGCCTCTGATGCCCCCCCTGGTCGGTCGGCAGGGGGGGGGGATGGACGAGTGAGGCGGCGAGGGGGTGACGAAGGCTCGAGAGGGCCGGAAGCCTTCCGAGCCTGCTGAGAAGGCCCACGCCCTGTCGCTTCCCTGATGTTTCGTCGGGCCTGTGCCTCTACAGGGGGAATGTTCAAGAATAGTCAGAAAATAGTCTGGGGACGATTTTGTTTGACAATGTTTCAGTATGGTTTGTGCATTTTTCGGGTATGAATTATTGTTCGTCCAAAATCCGCCTGTAGGGGGACACGCCCGACCTAAACCTAATGTCGTGCGCCCGTCGATCCTGGCCCGCACCCCGCCCTTCAGACGCCGCGCCCTGCCCCGCGACCCGCCTCTCGCAGGGCAGCCGCGAGGCGTCTGCAGCCCGGCCTCGCTGCTCTGCGCAAGAGAGAGAGAGAGAAAAACAAAAAGAGGGCAAGAAAGAGAGCGTCAGAGAGAGTCCAAACCTCATTGGGCGACGAGATCCATATCAGCCGCACTTGGCCAGGCATGTCATTGGCCCAGGGCCAGCATACACATATATGCATATAAGAATATCTAAATATGTCTGTTTGTCTGTCTGCATGTAGGTATGTATGTAGGTATGTATGAATGATTGTGTATGTATGTATGTATGTATGTATGTATGTATGTATGTATGTATGTATGTATGTATGTATGTATGTATGTATGTATGTATGTATGTATGTATGTATGTATATGTGTAGGGGTGTGTGCGTGTATGTGTGTATGTGTGTATGTGTGCATGCGTGTATGCGTGTATGCATGTATGTATGTATGCATGCATGTATGTATGTATGCATCTATGTATGCATGTACGTATGTTTGTATGTAATGTAATGCATTGTAATGCAATGTAATGTGATGTAATGTAATGTAGTGTAATGTACAGTAATGTAATGTATTGTAATGTAAGGGTATTGTAATGAGATGTAATGTAATATAATGTAATGTAATGCAATGCAATGTAATGTAATGTAATGTATGTTTGCATGCATGCATGCATGCATGTATGTATGTATGTATGCATGCATGCATGCATGTATGTATGTATGTATGTGTGTATGTATGCGTATGTGTGTATGCACGTATTTATTTCTGTATGTATGCAGGTCGGCAGGTCGGCAGGTCGGTAGCTCGGTAGCTCGGTAGCTCGGTAGCTCGGTAGGTCGGCAGGTCGGTAGGTCTGTCTGTATGTATGTATGTATGCATGCATGCATGCATGCATGTATGTATGTATGTATGTATGTATATATAATTATCTACATATGTATGTGTGTATGTATGTATGTATGTATGTATGTATGTATGTATGTATGTATGTATGTATGTATGTATGTATGCATGCATATATATATATGTATGTATATATATATATATATGTATATATGTATATATATATATATATATATATATATATATGTATTCCTCTTCCTATATTTTTACAAGCCCGGGCGGGGGGAAAACCCGTCCCCCCCCAAAAGAAACCGGGCTCCCGGGATCTGGGGCGTTGGGGCCCTCCAGACGGGCCTCGAAGCGGCCCCCGGGCCTCGCAGGGCGTCTTGCCAGGCCTTCCCAGCACACCTAGGGCGATCGGGGGGGGGTCATCGGAGACGTCCCAGAGACCCCGAGGACAGCACAAGAGCGCTCCAAGAGTGACCGACTTGACCTCAAGACGACCCCCAAGAAGCCATCATATCCCCAAAGATCTTCCCGAAACGTCTCAAGAGGGCTCCAAGAGCACTCCCAAGAAGGCCCCAAGAGGCAAGAATCATTGATTTTCTATTGGTTTTTGGTGATTTTTGGGTTCTCCTCTTTTGGGCTTCCCGACGCTCCAAGACGGCGGTCTTCTGGGCGTCAGAAGCCGCCTGGGAGGCTCTAAAATCGCCCCGTAACCATTCTGAAGGGCTTCCAGGCAGTCCAAGAGAGCCCCAAAACGGCACAACAGGGGTCCAAGACGGCCCTCAGAGAGCCCCATGGCGGCCCAAGATGGCCCCAAGACACCCTCCGAAGCATTCCAAATCGTGACCCGGTCGTTCAGGGAGACCGCGGTTGCAGGCAGGGCGACCCGAGGAAGCCCCCAGAGGCCCCCAGAGCACGCCCAAGAGGCCTCCAGAAGGCCTTAAGAAAGCTTGACATAACTTTTGCGAGGCCCCCAGAGGCTCTCCAAGGAGGAGCCTCCGCAAAAAGAGCCGAGGAGGATGGGGAGAATGCGCAGGGTATGGCGAAAATGAGGAAAAAGAAACATGGAGGAAGGATAACGAATAACATTGTTATAGCGGCGATGCCAGAAAAGGCAATCAAGTTGTCGCTAAATTGTCGGCTTGACCTTCCTGCTATTCGGCCTGCATGCCAAACTTCAAGGATCAAGGTGCACGGCGCGAAGCGCCACTGCAGTCTTGGATCTATATATATATATATATATATATATACACACATGTGTGTGTGTGTGTGTGTGTGTGCCTCCCTGGCCAAGCCAGGGGAGCGTACACACCTCTCTTGGGATCTGGACGAGCCTGGCTAGGGAGCCTGGGGAGGCGTGCACACGCCGTAGAGCTGCGCGTGTCTCGCCGACCCGCCCCCAGCAGCACGTTTTTCTCTCTCTCCTTTGCGCCCCGCGCCCCCGTGCAGCCCACGCCCTCCTCGCTCTCGCGCTCGTCCGCGCCCGGGCGGGGGCCACGTCATCTCTCTCGGGAGGCAGGCGCCGAGGAGGAGGGGGGGGGGAGGCAGGACCCCGGAGGGAGAGGCGACGAGGACCGGGAGGAGGCAGCCCCCCTCGCCCCTCGGCAGCGTGTCCTTCTCGCGGAGCCTCTCGAGCTCGCATCGAAGTGTCTCGGGCCTGGCCGGAGTCGGTGCGCCTCGCCTCGTCGCGGCAGTGTCTACCGGCACATCGGAGCACAGCGGAGTTCCCCGCAGCTCGCCGCGCCTCGAGAGCGTGGCATCATCGTAACCCTCATCCTCAGCCCTTGTTTTCATCCTTATCATCATCTTCACCTTTACCCTCGTCCTCGTCTTCGTCCCCACTCTCATGCTCGTCCCCATCCCTCCGAGCATTCCGCACCAACGGCGCATGCAGGCACCCGTCCAGCGTCGGACCTGGGTCCTCGCAGAGTGCCCAGGAGGGAGCCTTCTGCTCGCCCGCAGCTCGGGGTGAGCCTCGACGATGATGATGGCGATGATGGTGATGGTCATGATGATGCTTCTGCTGCTGCTGCTGATGATGATGATGATGATAACAACGACGACGGTTATGGTGGTGTTGAAGTTGATGATGATGATGACGATGACGATGATGGTGATGATGATGCTGATGATGATGACGATGACGATGATGACGACGACGACCACGACGACGACAAGGACGATGATGATGATGCTGATGATACTGCTGATGATGATGCTGCTGCTGATGCTGACGATGACGATTATGATGATGATGGTTTTGATGATGAAGGTGAGGATGGTGGTGGTGGAGGTCGTGATTGTGATTAGGATGATGATGGTGATGATGATGGTGATGGTGATGACAATGACGTCGATGATGATGGTGCTGATGATGAAGATGATGATGATGATCATGATGATGATGATGATGATGATGATGATGATGATGATGATGATGATGATGATGATGAACATGATGATAAACATGATGATGATGATGATGATGATGATGATGATGATGATGATGATGACGTTGATGATGATGAAGAAGAAGCCGATGACTATGCTGATGATGCTGATGATGCAGATGCTGATGCTGATGCTGATGCTGATCATGATGATCACTCTGCTGATGATGATGATGATGATGATGATGATGATGATGATGATGAGGCGGAGGAGGAGGACGACCAGGAAAAAAGGAGGAGAAGGAGGAAGGGGAGCAGGAGGAGGACGAGGAGGAGGAGGTGGATTACAAGTAGTAGTAGTAGTAGTAGTAGTAGTAGTAGTAGTAGTAGTAGTAGTAGTAGGAGTAGGAGTAGGAGTAGGAGTAGGAGTAGGAGTAGTAGTAGTAGTAGTAGTAGTAGTAGTAGTAGTAGTCGTAGTAGTAGTAGTAGTAGTAGTAGTAGTAGTAGTACGAGGGGGAGTAGGAGGAGGAGGAGGGCGAGGAGGAGGAGGAGGAGGGGGAAGAGGAGGAGGAGGAGGAGGAGGAGGAGGAGGAGGACGTGGAGGAGGCGGAGGAGGAGGCAGTCGCAAACACCAGAAGAAACGTAACCATATTAATCATACTATGAATCATACGGCTACTGTTGTTAGCAGCAATAAACTAGTAAGAAGGGGAATACCCATACGACTTTTACTAAGGAAAGAGGCACCAAAAAGGAAGAATCAGCATACCACAAACCATATTTCTGGCAATGCCAAGAAATCTATGAGTGATGATGAATCCATACTATAGCGCCACTCATACCAATAGTGATACGACTACTTCGAACAAGAGTCATAGTGATACCAGAAATACCTGCAGTGATACCAAAGCTCATAACACTAAAACTACCCACATTACTGATACACATCGCGATTTTGGTATTGATACTCTTACGGCTAACAGTAGCACAAAGACTAATAGTATTATTTTGAATAGTAAGACTAATAATCTTATTAGCAACACTAATAACTCTTCGAAGACTAGTAGGAATAACGGTAATAATGCTACTACACATCATAACAATACGAATACTCTTGGCACGAATATACGACTACCAATAGCACGCAAAACCATGAATATCAACATTGAGGATGACACTGATAATACTATTGATAATGAGGTTGCTATTAGTATTCGGAATGTTCATTACAGTAATAGGCACGATATTTTAGGTATAAAGGCAAGAGTACTAATGAACATACTAATGCTCTTGATCGTAAGAAGACGAGTACTTATATACGACTAATAACAGTGATACTCATACTAAAAAGAGGAGCAGGAGGAGGAGGAGGAGGAGGAGGAGGAGGAGGAGGAGGAGCAGGGTGGGCGGGAGGGTCCTGCGGGAGGGTCCGTCGCGTGGTGGACCGTGCCCTCCCAGGAGGTTGTCGCCTGCCTGCGCGACGGCTGGCTCGCGCCCGGGCCGCGCACCGAGGAGTTCGAGGGCAAGGCGCGGCGACTGCCGCGCCCCCCAAGCCGAGGGTCAGCAGCGGCGACGTGGGGGAAGCCCCTCCTCCCACCCTCCTCCTCCTCTGCCTCCTCCCTTCTCCTCCTCTTCCTCTTCCTCCTTCCTCCTCCTCTTCGTCCTCGTCTTCCTCATCTTCCTCCTCCTATTCCTCCCTCCTTCTCCTCCCCCCTCCCCCTCCCTCCTCATACGTAGCTCTTCCCTGTCGCACGCCCAGACCTGATGGCAGGGTGGGCTGATCGTTTCACCTTAGACCCCCTCACCATCTATGAGCCTGAAGCTAACTGTTTGCAGCAGCTTCAACGATGGAGTGCGGGTCGTTTTCAACATGTGGCTCTCGCCGCAGCGCCGCGCACATTCGTCTTACAAGTTTGAGCAGTTTCAAGCACAGAGGCGAGGCCGTTTTCAAAATGTGGCTCTCGCGGGAGCCCCGCGGAGGGCGGTTCATTTCCAAATGTGGCTCTCGCCTTAGCGTCGCGCGCATCGTCTTTCCAGTGTCGGCGGTTGCTTCCACCGAGGGAGTATGATCCCGATTTCGGTGATGATAGCGGTGTTCCGGCTCCCGGTGGTTCAAAGGGGGGGTCCTGAGGGACGGGGTCCTGAGGACGAGGTGCACCAAGCAGCGTGAATCTTCCCTTGGATCCCTTCCTTGAACAGGACCACATCTCTGAACAGGCGGGGCTCCCTGGGTGGCCGAAAGGTTGCCACCGGCACCAACATGTGTGATCGTCATACCCCCCGTGCTGAGGCCCCCCGCTGTGTTGGTGAAGAGGGAGCGGGTGAGAAGAGAACGAGGGAGGGTAGGGTTAAATCGTTCCTGTCCCTCTACAGGGGGAATCTTCAAAAATAGTCAAAAAATAGTCAGGGGACTATTTTTGGAGTACTGTTTGATGATTTTGGGTTTTTTTTTGAGTATTTTGTATTTTTCGTCGAAAATCCCGCTGTAGGGGGACAAGGGGGAGGCGCGGTTGGAGGCATTCGGATCTCTGGAAGGTCGAACGTCGGATGGCTAGGATTTAGAGGGTGCGAAGTCCGAGCCAGCGCTTGTGCAGTGTGGGCGCTCGGAATGCGTAATGATGGCTGTCCAACGCTTGGGCTGACTAGTCAAGCTTGGAAGCATGGCTCACATCAACGAGAACCTGAGCTTCCTGGCGCCAAGAGTTTGAAACACTGAACGCTCAGGAGATATAACGCAGTATCCTCAGTTTTTTTTGTGCTTTAAATCCCGCAGCGTGACACATTCCCTCACGCATACTTCTTCCAACTCTGGGCTCACCAAGTTGCGAAAAATATCTCGGCCGTTTACTTCTCTCGTGCTGTCTGGTATCTATCTCTGTCTCTCTCTCTCTCTCACCCTCCTCGTCCTCCTGGTCTGCCCGAGTGATCTCCTCCACCTCTTCCGCCCTCGCTGCGTCCACGCCCCGGAAGGTGGCCGCGATCTTCGGGAAGAAGCACGGGGTCATGGTCGGCACCCGCCCTGCCTTTCACAGCGCGCCTCGGGCAGGGGTAGAGTCCAGATGGGTGCCTCCAGAGCGGGCAGAGCAGATGGAGGAGGAGGAGGAGGATGAGGAGGAGGCGGCAGAGGCAGAACAGGAGGCGGAGGAGGAGGAAGAAGAAGAAGCATACACATAAGACTAATCAACATAATGTTAACACACAGTCTTAATACGAAGAAAAATAATCACACCGCTGATAATAATACTGCTAATACTATTAATAAGACGAGTGATAATCAGACTACCAATCATAATACTATAATACTAATACTAACGCTCAGAAGAATACGACTAGTAATACAAGGGTGAAGAAGCATAGGAAGAACACGACTAAGAAGCATATGAATAACAAACGGTAACTAGTCTGATAAGAAGAAACACACATGTACTGATAATATGAAGACGAATAAGAATACTATTAAGATGACGAGTAGTAAGAATACGACTCACAACCTTAATTATTCATAACAATAAGAAGCACACTAATAATAACATGACGTATAGTAATGGGAAGAAAAATAATACTAATACTAGGAAGAACAAGAGTAATACCAATAATACTAATACTACTAATAATAATAAGAAGAAGACGAATAATAATAATACTAATAATAATAAGAAGAAGAAGAAGAAGCAGAGGAGGACCAGTGGAAGCCCAAGAGTCATCAACGATGTTGGAATTATCCCTCCCTCCAAGCTCCCTCGTCATAGGCCCCATACGACGGTTCATTTCAATTGAAGGAACTGCCTCGTTGGAAGACAACAGTGAAGATCCTGAAGCGTACCAAAACATTGTTCTCGGGATTTCAACGCCACGTATCAACCTGACTGCTGCGTCTTGACGATCCAGAATCGTACCATAACGCCATTTTTGGGCTTCCAACACAGCGAATCTACATAACTGTTGCGCCCCATAATCCTGAACCCTTCCAAAACACCATTTCTGGTACATTGATCATGGGAATTCGCGAAACTCCTGCAAATGTTTAAAACGAATGTGCGCGGCGCTAAGGCGAGAAACATACTTTGGAAAGGAGCCGCCCTCAATCCGCGAAGCCCTTGTAATTTTTCAACGAATGTGCGCGGCGCTAAGGCGAGAGCCACATTTTGAAAAGGAGCCGCCCTCAATCCGTGAAGCCCTTGCAAATGTTCTAAACGAATGTGCGCGGCGCTAAGGCGAGAGCCGCATTTTGAAAACCACCCGCCCACAATCCGTGAGACTCTTGCACATGTTTATAACGAATGTGCGCGGCGCGAAGGCGAGAGCCACATTTTGAAAAGCACCCGCCCTGAATCGGTAAAGCTCTTGCACATGTTTATAACGAATGTGCGCGGCGCGAAGGCGAGAGCCACAAGCTGCTGTCACTTTGAAGTCTCAGGCGAAACGCCCGGCCCGCCCTAAAAACTGGCCTCGGGGTGCGACAGGGGGGTGTTATCTATAAGGAGAAGGAATGGAGGAGGAGGAGGAAGAGGAGGAGGATGATAGGCGTTTGGCCGAAGACGCTCTTTTCGCCCACAGGGGGCAAGCAGACCGGCCTTACCCTTTGCGCGTCGGGGGCTCGCACCGCCCCGACCGCGATCATCGGCATCCTTTCTTCACGCACAAAAGAACCAGGGTGGCACAGGCGCAGCAGGGCGCGCCGCTCGTGGTGCCGAGTGCTAGTACGGCTGGCGAGGGCCAGAGAGGTGCTTAGCGAGCACCACAGCGCCCAGCAGCAGCCACGGAGCAGAATGGCGACATGGGGACAACCGCGCGCAGGCCAGTCATCATCATGGAAGTGCCCGTGCGGTGCAAGAGTCCCTTTGAGCAAATGGAATTGCAAGTGTGGCACTCATTTCAGTCAGAGGACGGGTATAACGTGGTACAAGCGGCCTCCCAGCAAGGGGCCCAAGAGCGGTACAGCAGCGACAGCGACGGCGGCACCTTCCAAGGCGGCGATCAACAGAATAGTGCAGCCCATCCGTCCGCTCACGCTCCAGGAAGCTCAGCGGCATCAGAAATGGGAGGAGCCGCCAGACGAAAGCGAGCACGCCCAGTTCAGAAATGTCGTAAGGAGGAAGATCGACGTGCTGGCGACGTCCGTGATGGCATCCATCGCTGCAGGGACCAGCGACACAGAGGCCAGGCTCGAGATCGCCATGTGGAAAGCAGCCTTGGTCTCGCTCAAGCCGCTTACGCAGCAGTTGATGGATCTACAGAATCGCCAGAATCGACACAGCGAGAGGTTGAGGAAGATTCGTATCGAGCGCTGCAAGTTAGACGAGGAGGAGATCTTGGTACAAAAGGAGATCGACGATGTATCGATGCAGATTGTCAAGGTAAAGGAGGACATCCAAGACGCCCAGGTGTGCGACGCCATGGACACAGATGGTGGTGGATCGCTGCATGGTGCTGGTGGAGGGACTGCGCCAGCGCCTCCGCCGTGGCGCCAAGCCCAGCAGCAGGCAGCGCAAGGCAACCAGATGCCATTCATCCCGCAGCATTTGTGCCAGCCTATACCAGCATTGGTGCCAGCGATTATGGCTCACCAGCAGGCAATGGCAGCCAAGGGCTTGGGCGTGGGCAAGGGCGCGGCGGCGCCAGGGCGGGCTCAGATGCCGCCGCTCGGCCCCACGGCTTTGCCGGAGAAGGGCTTGGGCAAGTGCCCCGCCCCGCCTCAGCCACCGCAGAGCGGCATCCTGAACCCAGTCCAGCAGATGCAGTTCGACACCATGATGGCGACGATGGCCTCAAACAATGCCAAGATCGATCAGTTCCTGACGACATTCGCGGCGGGGTTTATAGCCCCCCAGGCTCCTGGTCGCACGCCAGGGCCACAAGGGGTTCACCACGTACCAGTGCCGCCGACCATGTCATCCACGCCAGCATCGACCTTCCCAGTCCAGACGCAGCAGGCAGGGGCTGCAGGCGCGCCGACGTCGGCTACGTCAACGGCAGCGCCACCATCAGGGGATGGGACGTCATCGAGAGCAGAGCAGTCGACAAGCGACGAGACGTCCCCCTTGCAGCCGCGGGCGCTCTTGCCGCAGTTGAGCGCACAGGAGGTCGAAGAGATACCCATGATGGGCAGCCTCACGCCCATCTCGCCGACGCAGCCAGTGACGGAAGCCACGGGGGAGATCAAGGGCCCTGGCATCTCGGTCACCGCAGACCCTACGCTTCCAGATTGGTCGAGATGGGAGGGGCATATGACGGATGCCCCAGCACCAGGAGTCCTGGCAGCAGCGGCAGCAATGCAGACAGCCGAAGCTGTGCCAGTACCAGGGGACATGCGGGCAGCATCGGCAGCCTTGCCATCCGAGACGCCCGCGAGGCCGAGGAAGTTTCAGCGAGGCGAGGACGTGATCGTCGACCTCGGGGGCGAGGGCGAGGGCGAGCAGGATTTCTGAGAGTGAGCTGGGGCCCAGGCGAGATGCGAGTTTATTCGCCACAGTCTCCCCTCCCCTCCACTTCCTTGGCTCCTGCGTCAGTCGTTCCCCCCCCCATTCTGTATCGTTCGCCAGTAGTTATAGCGTTGGAGGCGCTGTTGGCCAATTCGCAGGATGGGGAAGATAACCGCGATCCGTCACTCAAGAGTTACACACCAGTAGCTTCGAGCTCGGAAGGGTCTGAAAGCCAGGGGGCGCAGGCCCAGCCCGATCCCCATAAATCGTTCAGGATTTCTCTCGATGGTCGAGAAGATTTTGTCCATGTCGTCCGCTCTCATGCTCCTGTTCTCTCTCTGTGTCGGGATGTGCCGAGTGAGGATTTGCATGAGGCGGCGAGGTTAGCCGTTGCGCTAGCAGCCGAGCCTGGCGGACCACACGCCAGCATCGAGATCTACTCAGACGGCTCGTGGCAGCCCGACCAGCCTGAGGAGTCGAGCTGGGCCGTGAGCGTAGTAGCCAGATCGCGAGATCATGATGAAGCTAAGGTGCACTTCTGTGGCTTTCTGCGGGGGAACGCAGTGGCCACCACGCCAGGCTTGTTAGACCTGTCAACTGCGTCCAGCACCACTTTCGAGGTCCTTGGGATTTATTGGGGGCTCCTTTGGATCTTGTCGGGGGCCCAGGGGCCTTCAGGGGAACCAGTGTTGGCCAATGAGGGCTCCCCACAGGTGGTTTTCCACGTGGATAACACCACGGCTATGGCTTTAGCCCAAGTGGAGATGGTCGCAGCGGGGATTGATAAGAAATTAGTACAAGTTACTCGGCATGCGCTCAGATGCGTGCGCCAGCATGTGAGAGTTCATTTTTTCCACGTGAGGTCACACGTTGGAAATCCGTGGAATGAGTGCTCAGACTCGCTGTGCAAGAGCACTGCTGTGGCCAGTCTCGTCCCCCCCCCTCAGTTGTTGGAAGAGCTCACTTTCAGGGAATCTATGGAATGGGATTGGATCCATGCCCTCTCTGGAGACTCTCGCGCACAGTACCCGCAGTTGGTCCAGGGGGACTTTCAGGGGCACATCGAACTCCAGCAGGCCTGCGAGGCTCATTTATTTAAGCCAGTGGTGGTTGGGAAAGCCGCCCAGCAGGTTAAAGTCGAGTTCGTTGTTGCCACTTATAACGCTCTCTCGGCGCTTGAGAGGGAACCCGCGTCTTTGACGCCAAAGCCTGCTCGCAGAATCACTGCCAAGACTAGTAGTTGGACCCCCAAGGGCGTGAGGGCTCAAGGGCCCCACTTGAGAACCCAGTTTAGAGAAGCGGGCGTCCTCCTGGTTGGGGTTCAAGAAGCCAGGAACGTCGAAGGTGCGAGAAGGTCCCACGGCTACGAAATCTTTGCGTCTGGTGCGTGCCGTGGAAACTTGGGGGTCGAGCTGTGGGTGGCGCATGATATACCCTACGCGACGCGTGGGGCCAAGCCACTTTTTCTTGTGCGCAAGAATGTGCAGGTGCTGCATGCCGATCCGCGGCGTTTGATTGCAGTTATTCGAGCAGCGCACTTTAGTTGTCGAGTTGCAGTGTTGCATGCGCCACATGCCAAGAGTGGCACGCCGGAGGAGCAGGAGCAATGGTGGCAGCAAACCGATGAATTGGTCATCAAGTGTCGTGTGGATTTGTCCCTTTTTGACTCGAACGGAAGGGTGGGGTCCATTACGTCCGAGGTCGTGGGGGACAAGGGGTTCAAGCAACACGAAGACTTGGTGGGGGGATCTTTTCATGGCCATCTTATGGCCACCCAGCTTTCTGCTCTCAATACTTTATTGCCTCAGGCTGGTGACGCCCACACTTGGGTGGCTCACAACGGCTCGCCACATCGCATAGATTATGTCTGCGCGTCGCAAGGGCTTGCTGCACAGGCAAGATCGTGCACGGTTTGGTATGATATAGACACCCAGCATGAGAAGCCGGACCACTATCCGCTTTTGGTCAAGTTTTCCAGGAATCCCGAGGTCGCCAAGGTTAAAAATCTCAGGCAGTTTGACCCTCTTAAAACGTGTGATGAGGAGAGGTGTGCTCTCTTCCGAGCGCAGCTCGCCCTGTTGCCCAAGGTGCCCTGGGAAGTGGGGGTTAATCAGCATGCTAGTGTGGTCGACGAAGGTGTTTTGCAAGCGGCCTCGGTTGCGTTTCCAGTTGACCAAGATGCCCGCCCCCCCTTCAAGCCCCACATCACTCCTAACGTCTTCGCTACGGTAAAGTTGAGGCGCAAGGTTCGTATGGTGCTTCGCGCTTATCGAAGAATGGATGCGGGGCCTTTGGTGAGTCTTGTGCAAGATGCCTTGACCACGCCGTCCCTGCTGCTGTACGAAGTGCCACAAGAAGTGCAGGCTGCCCTTTTTCCCTTTGTCCTCTCTGCGCAGGATTTTGGCAAGGGTGCCTTCTGTGCGGAGGACGCTGCCAAGGCAGCGGCTATGTTCATTCGGATGTCCAGTAAGATGGTCAGGCAGCAAATCATTGCCGCCAAGGGGGATCTTCTGGATAAGTTGGCTGAGGAACTCAACTCGTCGCTCACGGCGGGTGCGGCTCGTCAAGAGTGGAAAGCCTTCAGGTCCATTTCCAGGTGTGGGGGGGCCAGGTCCAAGTTTTCTCACGATCACCTGCCCATGATGAAGAGCGAAGATGATCGCGTGTATGAGAGCTCGGAAGAGATAGCGGAAGAGTTCCTAAGGAGGTTTGCTGACATGGAGTTCGGTCAAGTGGCCGACAACGAGCAGCTTGTGGCCGCGTATAATAAGCATCGGCAGGTGCGTTTCGAGAAAGCCGATGCTAGCACTGTTTTTCCCTTGAAGTTCCTGATGTCTCGCGACAGGCTGCAGGAGAGTTGTTTGTCTGCTAAGACTGGGAGAGGTGCAGGGCCCAGCGGAATTCGAAGTGAGTTGCTGAAGATTGCGGCTGAGGAGATGACAAGCGTTTACCACCCCCTCCTTACTAAGATTTCGGTGCAGAACGCTGAACCCTTGGCTTGGAAAGGGGGGTGGGCCGTGCCGATCCCCAAGAAACCTCCGCTTTGTTATTTTGCGAATCATCGCGAAATCTTACTCGGGGAAGTGGTAACTAAGCACCACCACGCGTTCTTGCGTTCTCTCGTGCTGCATGTCGTCATGGAAATCTCGGGCCAGGGACAGATGGGGGGCTTTCCTGGAAGGGGAACTGACCTTGCGTCGCTGGGTGCCCGCACGACCCTCGAGTTTTTGAAAAGCAGAGGCCGCGCGGCTATCCTTCTTTTCTCGGATTTGAAGGACGCTTTCTATAGGCTGCTGAAGCAATTTGTCGTGGATGCGGAGAAGCTAGATGAAGACAATATCATTGATAGATTATCGATCCCTCTCAACCTCATCCCTGCTTTCTCTGCTCTGCTTCGCCAGCCAGCCCTCTTGGCGGTCAAGGCGCCAGCCCAGTTGTCTAACATGCTCGCCGAGGCTACTGCCGCCACGTGGTTCGGCGTGCGAGGAGCCGCGAGCATAGCGATTCCCCGATGCGGGTCGCGCGCGGGCATGCCGCTCGGAGATTTGCTTTTTATCGCAGGCTTTGCACCTGCCCATGCTAAGGTGCACCAGAGGCTTACAGATGCTTGCCTCACTGTGCCCATGGACGCGTACCAGGCTGAGTTCGACAGGTGTGATAAACCCTCTGGTTGGTGCCCTCTATTCACAGAAGTCCGTGATTTCGGAGGCGAAAAGGCCGATACCCAGGGGTCCGCGTTTGTTGACGATATGATCACTATCACCTCGCCTGCCCACAACTCGAGGTGGTATGATGCCGTCATGCGTACGGCTTTGGTTGTTCACGAAGAGCTGGTTAAAGCGGGTTTTTGTCCCAACTTCCCAACTACGGCAAAGGTAAAAGTGAGTTAATGGTGTTGTTTGCGGGAGAGGGGTCCACCGAGGCCAGGATTACGTATGAAAGAACCCCCACCTTTGACTTGCGTATGTATGGAGTTAAGTTGTGCAAGACTGATTCGTATAAGTATCTCGGATCGCTGGTGCACAGGAGCGGGTCGTGGGGTCCCGAGCTGACTCTGCGGAGTCATGACCAGTCGGTGGCCCTGGGACCCTTGCGGAGGACGGCTTTCGGAATCCCGAGTTTGAGCAGGAAGTCCAAGCTAAAATATGCGGTTTCGCTTTGCTCCTCGAGGTTTTTGCACCAGTCGTCATTATGGGTGCTCAATGGTAAAATGAAGGTCCGTGCCGCAGGCGACTACGTAGCAGCGTACAGAGCTGCACTCAAGTCCGAGTTCCCTGCCCCTCCCGCCCCTCGTGCCTCCACGGAGGAGGTGCTCCTCAAGGCTGGCAAACCATCGTTGGACACCGTGCTGCGTTTGAGACGGCTGCGTTTTCTTAGTCGAATCTGCCGCAACGCTCCTCGCGCCATCCTCATCATGCTCGACTTGCTGTCCCGAGTGCCTGGCACTTGGGCCAATCTTGTGTGGGAAGATCTGCTTTGGCTCCCCGACCGCGTCACGCTTCCCCTTACGCACTCTCCTCCTGGCGACGTTTCCTGGTGGGTCCGTTTGTCGTGCGAAGGTCGTTTGTGGAAGCGTTTGCTGAAGTCGGCGGAAGCTGGGGCCACCAGGGCCGAGATGGATAGTGCGAGGCTCCAGCAGTGGCGAAAGGACCTGAGCGAGCAATGTAAGGTTACTGGTGTGTGTCCTCCCCCGACTTGCGGAGATCTCCCCGTGGCCATGGTCTTTGTTTGTCCTGAGTGTGATCTCACTTTTGACAGTGTTGGGTCGTGGGCTGCGCATCGCACAAAAAATCATCCGTCACTGGACTTGGCGCGCACAGTGGCCAAAGGTTCAGTGTGCCAAGGATGCTGTCGCCAGTTCTTTACAAACTTGAGGCTTTTAAAGCACCTGCGGCACGGCTCGAGTAGATGCCTCCCGGCCTTGCTCACTGTGCTGCACCCCCTGTCGGAGGAGGAAATTCAGACGCAGCGTGCCGAGAACGTCGAGATCGCGTCTGAGCTTGCTTCTCGGGGATTGCATGCTGAGCAAGCGGAGAAAAAGTCGTATCGGTGCGTCGGCCCGATGCTCCGAGGGGTAACGGATGAGCGATGGAATCGCATCCAACCCGTTGGCCGCCCCGCAGCAGAGTTTCAAGAACCAGCGTTCCAGAGAGCGAGTCCTGTGCCAAGTGTGCCTCAGCCAGATCAGATGTTTTATGTTCTACACCTTTTCTCTGGACAAAGGAGGAAATGTGACGTCCAGGACTACATCGACGCTGAGGCGAGGAGGTGTGGTTTGGCTTTGATTGTCCTCAGCATCGATGCTGCCAGCGACGAAGCGCGAAGTAATCTAGCGGCTAAAAAATCTGTGCACGAGTTAGTAAGTTCGGTTTTATCAGGCCTCGTGTGGGCCGTGCTGGCGGGTCCGCCATGCGAAACCTTTTCGCGTGAGCGGGCCCGACCGCCCCCACGTAGATCTGTTTATCCCAGAATCGTTCGTACTCCAAAGTTTCCGTGGGGGCTCCCTGCTCGAGGAGAGGCCGAATGGGACCAGATTGACGTTTCCAATGCCCTCCTTCGGACTACAATACAGTTAGCGTTTGCTTGCAGCGCTGTGGGCGCTCGGTTTCTCATGGAACACCCCGAGTGCCCCATGGAGCCCCACCTTGTCAGTAGTTGGAGTTTGCCCGAGGTCCGACACGTTCTGACTTTGTCGGGGGCGGCCCTAATCAGTTTCGACCAATGCCAATTTGGGGCATGTAGTGTCAAGCCCACCTCTCTCCTGACCCTTGGCCTCCCTCACATCCAGAACATTATAGACAGCATGCCTGGAAGGGGAAGGTGTACGCACCCCTTCGGCCACGAGTCTCTGGCGGGCCTGTCGGCGTCAGGTGAGTATCGAACGGCGGCGGCAAAGCAGTATCCGCCCCAGATGTGCAAGGCCATAGGTTTGTCTGTCGTGGCGGGCCTCCCTCCATCCAACCTCAGCGTGGCCGAGCTCCACTCGGCGATGGAGGCCCGCGCCCCGCAGCTTGCGCCTTACTTTGCTCCATTGGATCCATACCTGTCGTAGTTCAGCCTGGATATTTCACGTGTAGTCTCATGTGTTGTGCAGTTGTTGTGTACATGTGCGTGTCTCACCTCTTGCATGCGTCCACCGCGGTCTCGAACTCCATCGGCAGTGGGAACAGAACAGGAGGAGGATGATGATGAGGAGGGGGGGGCAGAACAGGAGGCTGAGGAGGAGGAGGAGGAGGCAGAGGAGGAGGAGGAGGCAAAACAGGAGGAGGAGGAGGAGGAGGAGGAGGAGGCGGCAGAGGCGGAGCAGGGGGCGGAGGAAGAGGAGGAGGAGGAGGAGGAGGAGGACGAGGAGGACGAGGAGGAAGACAACGGACTAGGAGGCGGAGGGGAACGGGGGCTCGGTAGGGGCTGCGCGGCGGGGCCACGGGAGGTGGGGCGGCGGCACGGCCGAGGTCAACTCTGGGAGCTCGGGCAACATGATCGCGCTGGCGTGCCTGGGCCTCGAGAAAGGACGTCGCTCCTCGCTCTCCTCGCTCGCCCAGCCTGGTGCCCCTCTGCCCGTCCCCGCCTCCTCGGCCCTCTTCCCTCAGACCTCTTCC